TCGATAGCTCAATCTTCTTTGGCTGGGTGCCTGGGGATATTCGAGTGGAGATTCTTAGCTCGTTGCGGTTCTACAGGAGCACTTCCAGTTTGATAATTAGGGGTGCTCTTAAGTTCCAAAAATTGATAGTAATACAATGCCATCCTTTACTTGACAATATTATAACTATCAGCATATATTACTTAAATTGTATCTCAACACTCAAATGATATATGTTGATCTTGGAAACATTATCTAAGGATCACCTACCTATCACCAACCCACTCCATTCCAAAAGTGAGAATTCAAAAGAATTCAAGTTTAAAGTAAGACGGACCAAATTTTCAAGCCATATATATACAATGAGTAGTGAAAGAATAATTGGCATCTTAATACAGAATTAAATCACCAATTCAGTGAAAGATACTTTCTACCCTTTTCTTCTTTTTAGTTCTCTTTTCTCTTTCTGTGAAACACTTTATGTGAAGGCGTCCGCATATATTATATTCGCTTTAAACCCTTTCAAAAACTTGATATGACCCATTGGTAAAAGTTTATTTGTTCAATGTTCTTTTACTTTTTTATATTTCGAGATACTACAACAATGAAACTCCTTTCTCTCGAACAAAAGAGAATATTTTTTGACAAAATGGTTAAAAGAAAACAGTTATCCACCCATATTATCCATCAAAAAATGGGTTGGATAATGAACCATTTAAAAACGGATCGAATATGGATAAAAAACCATATTATCCACTTAGAAAATAGTTAACCAAATGGATAACCAATGGATAACTAATGTGTTGAACTTTTACATTTGTAAAGCCTCAAATTATTTTTTTGAAACACTTTGCCTCTCAGTGATTCCTCTCCGTACAGTGGATTTAATGCAACAGTACCCGTTTCAACGAGAATGGACGGTTCATCGTCGTCCGGTGGTGAAAAACCACCGGACCAGTCCCAAAAGCTGCGCCATAATATTGCGCTCAAACCCCATGTAAGCGCTCCACTCAACTCGTCCCCAGCTGCTACGGACCAAAGAAAGGGTTGTAAAACCACAGTAGCAATTAATCACCTGGGAGCTACTGATAATTCCCAGCTCAATTCTGGGCCAAACATTGCAATTACAAACCATGGACGATGCCTTCCATCACCAGACATACCTCCCCACCAAAAACCAGTCGCTTCCACCGTAGGAATCAACCGGAACGACAAACTGATAATCTCCGGCGGCACAGAGACTACCGTAACTGGAACCCTACCCGGCCAAATCCAAAATGATTGGAACAAAAATGCTCATCTTGATGAGGACATCAGCTTAGCACCATTAATTTTGTATGGGTACCAATCAATTGCTTCAATTTTGCAATCCTTGATCCCAGGCATCTCGAATATCTCAGGTGCTCGACGAACACCCCTCTCTTCAGGACCAAGGAGACCTCAACCATTGATTGGAAATCCTCCCGTGACTTCTAATGAGCAGGTATGCAAAGATTCAACTCAAGCCAGCATGTCTATTGATCAACTCGATCAATTGAACAGTTCAGTTCTTCACTAGTTGGCCAGAAATAGTACTCCGGTGAACCAAACTCCCCAAAACCAATGCCAACTTACTCCTGCTATTCAGGAGACTGCTCCCCAACCTTCAAATCCAACTTTACATGAGCCAGTATTCTCGAATATTCAAATTGGTGAGCTTGCAGTCACTGACCTCCCAGGTGTTCGACCAAATGTCAATTCTATTTCTGTTGCTCAAATGGAGGATCAAAGTATTGCACAAGTCTCACAAGATCACCAGGAAGTTGCTCGTCAAAAGAATACCCATGTTTCAACTCAAATAACCAGTAGCCAACAAATTTCTTCCTTGCCAGAATTACAGGAGACTGCCAATGGTGAATCAATTATTCAAGGGGTTCATATGCCTATGCCAAACAACTCTCTCATCATTGAAAGCACTAATGGAATGATCGATAACAGAGCTGCTCCAACAACAAGTGCAAATGTAGAATGCTCCACCTCAGGTGTTATCCCTTCACCTGTGCATCCAACATCTAAAACAGAGACCCTAGCCGCTCAACTTCCTCAGAACCAAGCTAATTCAAATACCAATTCTAAAGCCAGTGCTCCCCTTAAGATCTCATCCAACTTTGATAAGCCAACCAACGCCAAGAAATACCAGAAACCTCCTGCGAAAAACAACTCACCAACTATCCAGCCTGTTAAACAGGCTTCACCAGCTATCTATCCCACTCCACAGGCTAGCAATCCATCCAATAAAAATAAACTAGCTAGTAGTTCTCCACTACCACCCCCCACTGTCACTCACTCTTATGTCACAAGGCTCAGAGCTAGGCATGAGGCTGAGATTCAACCCATAGTATTTACCCCTCCAAAGATAACTACCAAGCAATGCCAGCCTGTAGTAAGTTTCAAAAGGGATGACTACATGGTGAGATTTGCTGACAGGTACAAATTCACAGTAGTAGGCAAGTTCTCCAATACTATGCCTAGAATGGAAGTCACTAGAAGAAGTTTCATTGCTCAGACTGAGCTCAAAGGTGCAGTCAAGATAGCTCATTTCAATGCTAGGACTGTCTACATTGACTTAGAGAATGAGTATGATCATTCCACTGTATGGGGTAAACAGTATATGTACATCCAAGGGTAAATGATGAAATTGGAAGCATGGTCCCCAACATTCAAGCCAAATAAAGATTCACCCATTGTGCCAACATGGGTAGTTATTCCAGAATTACCATGGCATCTGTATTACATGGAAATATTCACACCTCTGCTGTCACCTATTGGCAAAGCTTTATACTTGGATGTGGCATCTTTCTAGAAAACAAGTGGGAGTGTAGCCAAGGTAAAGATCCAAATTGACCTCACCAAGGAAAGACCTCATCATGTCTGGCTTGGATACGATGAGAATCAGGATGAATATGGAGATGGGGAATGGCTGGAAGTCCAATATGGTAATGTGCCTGCCTACTGCAATCACTGCAGGCATTTGGTCCACTCTGAATACACCTATGAAATCAAATTGAAAGAAGAGGACAAAAAGAAGAAAAAGGAGGAAGAAGCTACTGAAACAAGTAACTCTCATCCCTCCAACCAAAACAAGTCCAAAGATGAAGCAGGAGCAAGAAAGACCCAAAAGAAGGAACAAGAGGTTGTAGCAAATTCAGCTGCACAAGATCAAAGGAAAAATCATATGACAACTGAACAACCAAAGGCAGCAAAATACCAAAGTGCTATAGCAGAAATAGCAGAAGAGGAATGGCAAACACAAAAGAAGAAAATTTTTAAAGGTAACACACAAAGCAAGAGATAACAACAAGTTTACATGCCAAAACCATCACATTCTCAACAGCAGCAGGGTATACCAAATGAAACTCAACAACAGGCCATACAATCATCACAACATCAGGTATACCCTCTATCAATCCTCCACCTCAACTGGAGAGGAGTGCAGATTCTGGTGTCCAGAATCTACCCATTCCCCCTATCCCCTCATCCATTTCTGTTGATTGTGAAGTAAATGGAGGAAAGGAGGATTGTCAGGAGTTACATATAGCCAGACAGGAAGGGGTACCAAATGGGGAGGGGTTTCCTCATGTTCTGCATGAGTGTGCTAAGGCACCACTGAAGGTCCATAGGAATGACCAAACAGCCTCTGCTATCACAGTCACCAATTCAGGCAAACAACAAGTCAAGTATTCTGAAAATGGGACTATTAAAGAAGATTCTGAGTCTTCCAGCTTTGAAAAGGATCCTTCTGCACAAATGAAAGCCCTGCTCAAAGGAAAAGCAAAAGTTGCAGCTGACTTTCAAGTTCAAGTTCAGTCTCAGAAAGAAAAAAACAAACCCAGTCAGAAAAAGAGGAAAACTATGAGGAACAAAAATGCAGGTATCAGCATAAATGAACCTCCAGATGGTACTCCCTTTCTGAGCCCTGCAGTCCAGCAAAGGTTCAGGCCTGATCATAATGCAACAGCGGAACCCACTGTCTACAGGAACTTAGTAATAGCTTATCCCTTCTCTCTCCCAACCATTACTACCCCATAAAGAACAACCCTCTGATGGCAATGATCAGATTTACCTACTAATGACCATAACCTCACACCCAAAACACACAAAACCACCTCTATCCCTACAACTAACCCCAGAAAAAACCATCACATGCATCCATTAGATATGGTCTTGGAAGAATTCCCTCCCAACAGGTATACTTCTCAGCAAGATGAGTACAGACCAATTGAATCGATGATGAGTTAACTGGAGAACAAGATGCCGATAATGAGTCTAGTGAAGAAGATCTCCAAAAGGAACAACATTGTGAAATTTTGATTGCTACTGTAAATGGAAATCCAATCCAGGAAGATGTTGCTCCTCCATCATTGCCAACCAAAAAAATCCCACACCAAGGCAAACCAGGAGCAGAGCTGCTAGAAACAGAAGCAGCAGTGTCCTACCAAAGCATTACATAAAACCATCCTTCCAATGATTAGTACATTCATTTGGAATACAAGAGGCATCAGAAGCTCTGGAGCTATTGAAAGGCTCAAAATTCTGAAACACATCCATAAACTCTCCTTCATTGCAGTTCAAGAACCATTCCTTCAAACCCTTCATACCAATCAGATCAATTTATTCAAACTCCAACTTTCAATGCACCAAGCTGCTTCCAATGTTAATGACAAGATCTGGGTTTTCTGGGACAAAGAATTCAATGCTTCAGTCACTGATCATGACGAACAACAGTTAACCTTAGAAATGAGACATGTGGAAAGTGACATACCTTTTTTCCTTACAGTAGTCTATGCCAAATGCAAACCAATTCTGAGAAGACCATTATGGGAAGTGCTGAGACACAAATCAGCAACCTATTACTCTCCTTGGTGTGTGATTGGAGATTTCAATGTTATTTCCTCAGTTTAAAAGAAGATTGGAGGCATTCCTTACCACATGAACAAGAGCTTGGAATTCCTGTGTATGATTGAGATTGTGGGCTGGCTGATATGGGCTATTATGGCCCCAGATGCACTTGGTCCAATGGTAGAGGACAATGTTCCATTGTTTGGAAAATATTGGATAGAGGACTTGCAAATGATCAATGGTTAGCTGCCTTTCCTGCTACTACAATCTCTCACTTAGCGTCAACGGGGTCAGATCACAACCCCCTACTCATGGAAATCAGAGTTAGGCAAGAAACTGGCAACAAATATTTTAGGTTCCTTAACCTCTGGGTTGATAATGATAATTTCAAACCATTTGTTAAAGGAATATGGGATAAACATGTTTCTGGGAGTGCCATGTGGATATTCCATCAAAAACTAAAGGCTCTTTGTACTGGTTTGAGCCAGTGGTCAAGGCAAGAATATGGAGACATATTCCAAGAAGCAAAGGAATATGAAGAAAAGGTGAAAGCAGCAGAGATGGTCTGGGCACAGACCAATGAAGAAGCTGACAGGGCAAATCTTCATGATCTTAAAGCTCAGTACATAAGATACATGAAATTAGAAGAGAACTTCCTAAAGCAAAAAACTCAACTTCAGTGGTTCAAAGAAGGAGATGCCAACTCTAAGTACTTCCATAGTCTCATCAGAGGTAGAAGAAGAAAATTGTATATCCACAAGATCAAAGATGAAGATGGACAGTGGATCCAAGGCGATGAGGCTATTGGTAATGCAGCATGTACATTCTACCGAGATCTCTTTACAGATACAGGGGCTTCAATAAGGGAAGATCTCCTCTCCTGCATTCCCTCCATGATCACTCAGGAAGACAATGACTTACTGAGTGTATATCCCACCTTATCAGAGCTCAAAGAGGTAGTCTTCTCTATGAATCCCACCAGTGCAGCAGAGCCAGATGACTTCAATGGCAAATTCTACCAATCATGCTGGGACATCATCAAGGCTAACCTACTGAATGTTGTCCTAGCTTTCTTTGGAGGATGCAGTATACCCAAGTATATGACCAGTACATGTTCTGTGCTATTGCCTAAGGTGGAATTTCCCAATTCTCTTTCTGAGTTTAGGCCCATCAGTTTAAGCAACTTCATCAACAAGATCATCTCCAAAGTTATTTGCTCCAGATTAGCTCCTATCCTCCCCAGAATAATCTCAGCAAATCAGTCTGGTTTTGTTAGAGGTAGAAATATCTCAGAAAACATCATGCTGGCACAAGAGATAGTTCATGGTATCAAGAAGCCAAATGAAGGCTCCAATGTTGTCATCAAGCTAGATATGGCCAAGGCTTATATGATAGGGTGTCATGGAGCTACACCCGCATTATGTTAAGAAGAATGGATTTCTGTGAGATGGTCATTGACATGATCTGGAGGACCATGTCAAATAATTGGTATTCAGTCATTGTCAATGGCACTAGGTTTGGTTTTTTCCACTCCTCTAGAGGTCTAAAACAAGGAGATCCTCTATCCTCTTCTTTGTTCATTATTGGAGCTGAATTGCTCTCTAGAATGCTGAACACACTCAACCACAGTCAACTTTTCAATGGGTTCTATATGGAAAGGAGGGGTCCTCAAGTTAATCACCTCAGTTTTGCTGATGACATCATGATTTTCTCATCTGGGGGCAGGTCCTCCTTGCAAAGGATCATGTGGATTCTCAACAACTATGAAAAAACACCTGGTCAACAAATCAATAGGCAGAAGAGTCACTTTATGTCATCCCCTTGTGCTTTTCAGTCTACTGTAAGAAGAATCCAAACAGTCACAGGTTTTACAAAGAAAACATCTCCATTGACCTGCCTTGGATGTCCTCTATACAGAGGTAGATCGAGAATATCTCATTTCAACAGCCTCACATCCAAGATAGTTGGGAGAATCAGAGGTTGGCATGGGAAAGTGCTTTCACATGGGGGAAGGGCAACTTTGATAAAACATGTTCTCCAATCCATGCCAATCCATCTTTTGTCAGCTATCTCCCCTCCCAAAACTGTCTAGAAACAAATAGAGAAGATTGCTGCTAACTTCTTCTGGGGCATGGAGAATAACAGAAGGAAATATCATTGGGCTTCATGGCATAAACTATGCTTTCCAGTCAAAGAAGGAGGCTTGGGCTTCAGAACCATAGCAGATACATGCAAATGTATGGAACTCAAGCGGTGGTGGCACTTTAGAACGGCTCAATCTCTATGGAGTAGTTTCTTAAGGGCCAAATATTGTCAGAGATCCAATCCCATCTCCAAAAAATGGGTTTCTGGTCAATCTCAAGCATGGAAAAGAATGATGTTCAATAAGAAGGAAGCTGAAAAGAACATCAGGTGGAGGCTTCACTCTGGTAATTGCAGTTTCTGGTGGGATAATTGGTTAGGCTCTGGGCCATTATCTCATCACAGGAATGAAGGTGGTAGACCTGGGAATGTCCAAGTCTCCAATTTTTGGACAGAGGGTTAGTGGAATATTCAGAAACTAAATGACCTTGCCCCTGTTCAGCTTATTCCTCAAATAGCCTAGATCCCCATCTTCTTCAATTCTAACTCTCCTGATGAAGCCATTTGGACTCCTAATGCCAATGGTAAGTTTACCTGTGCCTCTGCATGGGAAGTGATCAGGAACAGGAAACAACCTAACTTCACCAATAAAATGACTTGGCACAAGAAGATCCCCTTCAAGTGGTCCTTTTGCCTATGGAGAGCCCTCAGAAACAAGCTCCCTACTGATGATAGGGTTCTCCCCTTTAGTTCTCCCACAGGCACTAGGTGTGTTTGTTGCTCTTTCCACACCAGTGAAACAGTGGATCATCTGTTTAGTATGGGAAAGTTTGCTAGAATTGTGTGGGGGAGATTCAGTGGTCTAGTTGGAGTGCAAACAGAACAGATTCCCCTCAGACTTCTCCTAATGAAATGGTGGTGTTTAAAAAGCCACAATGAGGTTCAGAACTCATTCTTCACACCCTTCCCATCTTCATCTGTTGGAACCTTTGGAAGAACAGATGCAGTGCCAAATATGGGGCCAAAAACCCATCCCTGACCGGAGTCTTGTTTTCTGTCCACTCTGACATCAACCTTCTTCTGAGAGCTAGCTTCCCTGATATTAAATGGCCCCTTAATTGGCAGGAACTATACCCTCTGATTGAGAGACTTGAACACCAGACTTTGTCTACACAGGTTATTTGGGAAAAGCCAATTCCTGGTTTTGTTAAAATCAATAGTGATGGTAGTGCTCTAACTAATCCAGGAAAGATAGGAGCAGGGGTGATTGTCAGAGATCACGATTGTACTTTTATCCATGCCATTGCTGCTCCTATTGGAGAAGGTACTAACAATTATGCTGAAACTGAGGCAGCAATCTTAGGAATCCAATTGTGTTTAAACAATGGTTTCACCAAGGTCCACCTGGAAACTGACTCTGCACCCTTCTTTACCACCAGAATCAGGAACACAACTGATTGCAGTCAACACAAGAACCTGCAATCAGCTATTCCTCATAAACCAGAGATCCCACCAAAACCTCTGCCCCCAAACTCTTTTCCAGAACACACAAGAACCTGGAATTTGAAGGCCCCTTTTCTAACATGTTTGTTATGTTTGCAGGTACATTGTGTAGACTTGGGCAATTTGTGTACTCTCAGTCAGTGGTATTAGCTTCTATGAAGCTCATTCTGCTGAAAGTACACAACTTGCCCCAACTCTCTCAAATTATTACCATACATGTTCCATCAAACATCAAATCTAGGATGTTTCCAGTACCTTCAATGCTCAGTCAACAACAGCTCCATCTATGCTGTCTTCTGCTGCTACAGACCTGTTACCATCAGGAGTCCCTTCATTCCTTTGACTCTCTGAAGCAGCCACGCTCACAGCAACATGCCATTCACTCAACATCTCAGCAGGAACTCTATAGGGATTCAGACCTAACCATGCTGCACTACATACCCACCAACTCTCAACAACAACAGTTTAATCAAGGATATTATCCACCTAATGCTCAGAATCCAGTTAGAGGTTACAAGCTAGCTGGGACAACTGAAACAAGCACATGCTCACTCCCTTCTGTCATCAGCAAGGAGTAGCTTCTCAACAGCCCAATTCACAGGGCCTTTTTGTTAGCTATCTTCAATCTAGCTTTCTTTGTACTCGATGTCAAAGCAAGGTTGAAGATAGCCTTTTCCAACAGTACATGGTTTTTGGCATCTCTAAGGAATTTCTACATTTGTACTAGATGTAGAATTTATGTACATGGAAGATGACCTTCCAAATCAACATTATGGTAGAATTAGGTTTACTTGTACATTTTTGTATAGTTGACCTAGGTTTACTTCATTCTGATTTTGTATACCCAATTGACTATCATAATTTGATAGTCAACTGGAACACCAGCATAGGTCTAACTCACCATAGCTTCAGGTTCTATCTGGTCATACAATTGCCTCTGTATCATATTGTTGGAGGTCAGGTTTATGTCCCCCTCCTTTGTTGTATTCTGTTTATTATATATGAAAATCAGCCCTAGGCACAATGCCTAGTGGATTCATAAAATAAAAAAAAGTTAAGTTTTAAATTTGAGTTAGATTGTTGAAATTCGAAGAACAAGTTTATGTTCAGTACTTAATTATAAATTCAAAATCTGAAGTTGCCTTCAGTAGATTGAACTACTTAAGATTCGAATTTATGAAGTTGCACTTGAAAGATAGAAGAACTCCATATTTAAATTTCTGAAGTTACATTAAAGAGATTGAACTATTTCATGTCCGGTAGGTACACTGTGCAAAATTTTATGTAATGCGGGTATGACTTCTACGGAGGCCTCAAAAATAGTATGTATAAAAATGCCCCTTAATAATCAATATATGTATATAAAGCAACGCCTAACATAGGTGATATGGCATTTCTTACAAAGTAGAAATTATATTTATCTTTTTCTCATTTTTTGACTTTTTTTTTTTTGTTTATCTCATCATAGAAACCCCTTAAAAACCTACGTAACCTTATTGAAAGAACGCAACGGTTGCGAAAAAGAAACAACAGACGTATGGTTTCTTACGTTCAAACCATTTCATTTATTACTAAAATGGTTAAGTAGCAAAAACTCAAAAGCTTGTGACGTTCACACATCTTAACTTCTTCATATATTCTTTCACATAGTATTCAATAGTGGGAGAATTTGATACATATAAGGAACCAATATATCTTCATAGATATTGCTTCTTCTTCTCACACTTCAAACGTCAGATTCTCTATTCTAATTTTTCTTTTGTCGTCACGTCAACGTCTATTACTTCTTTATAAAACCTATGATTCACAGAATCAACTGAAGAAGCTGAATTTTCAAGCCATCGTAATCGGCCAAAGATGTATTTGCTCGAGGATTACCGTGGCCAGGGGCGGGCCAATGGTAAAGCCACTCAAGCAACTACTTGACGCCCCACATCTAAAGGGGCCCCAAAATTTTCTAATATTAAATAGGTATATCTGATAATTTTTATAAAAAGTAATTAGTATATTAAAGAAAAAGTACATCTTTCATGAAAAAGGAAAATATGGGACCGCTAAAGATAATCTGGGAATAAGAATAATCACTTTTGGGATTCACCCCTAAACCTTACTTTTATTACTTTCTCTCCAAGTTGGTTTTTACTTAATCTTTTATATTCTTTTTAGCCTCTTCAAACTTACAAGTGCATTGACTCATAGAACATTCTGTCAAATACCATAGCATAAAGCAATTGCAAACCTTTTTTTTTTTGTCAAGCTTTTCCGGAATTGCATCAAAAATATTGAAGCAACAAAAGTAATATCAAGTTACCATATGACTATTTGCTAAACCATGTTCAATTGTTCTGTACTTTTCTTATTACTTTGCATCTAAATTTATTATTTTTTGATATCTTTTGTTTGTAAGTATATGTATTGTCTTTTTACTTATACAATCCTTTTGGGGATTGAAACTTTAATACAATCCCCAAAAGGAGGAAGAATTTATGATAGATGAATAAATCACTAATATAATTGAGCTAGAAGATAATGGAATCCAAGAAGAAGAAGAAGAAGTTAGTGAGAGTCTAACATAGATCTTTTATAAAATTAGGAAATCCCAAAAGAATTGAATAATAATCCTAGAAAGTAGAAATATATATAATCCTAGTAAAGAAATCGATTGTAAATGAATTATTAATAATTTTACATCTCAAAAAGCTAGAAAATAAACTTCAATAATAAAATTTTATTAAATGATTTTTTTAATATGGAAAAACTTAGTGCCCTTCGCTGAAGTTTGGCTTTAGTCCCCAAAACCGTTGAGCCGCCCCTGACCGTTGTGCTACCATATCTTATACGTATTGGAAGGCGCAATTTTCCCAGCAAAGAAAATAATAAAATTATCAAAGTGGAAACCTATCTCCATATATAAAATAGCACATTCTGCGAAGAACAACAACAAGGCGATGAAGACCATACCACCACTTGAACAATGGTCAAGTCCAAACAAACTGTTGGACCAATGCCTTTTAGGTTTATATGTAATGTCTTTAGGATCTTTTCCTTATGTGTCTTCTTCTATGGTGTATTATTTTTGTAGGATGGCAGGTAGCAACATAAATGGAAAGATTACAAGAGATAAAGTTCAAAAGGTAAGACTATCATAGTATTAATTTTTATTTGGGAAGAACATTTAAATATTAAAAGAAAGGTGAGAAGTCTTAACATAGTTTTTATTAACTTTGATGAGAGGGCTATTCCTCGATATCAATGGTATTATAAAAAAGTATACAATGTTTTATTTATTTATTTGAATTTGCTTTTCTATTCTATTTTTTTCATTTTTATTTTTTTATTTTACATTTGATTTGTAAGATTTTCCTTATATGAAGGAAAACTATTTTATTCGATATCCACAAGTCTTCACACATAAAATAAGCCACTAAAACCCATATTAATAGCAGTACGAAACCTATTTCAACTAAAAATGGGAAAGTCTATTCCTATATTAATTTTGAAGACAAATTAATTCTATTTAGACATGAATGAATCTAGAAAATATCAAATTCTAAATAATTAAGGTTTCCTACTACAACTTTGAATTAGTATTCCAACATTATAACATCTCTAATTGTTCAGATATTTTTTCTATAGACCTCTCTAACATGCTTACTGTTACGCGGCCACTTCTAGAGATTCCTTGGAATGGCGACGTAAGGCTAAGCAACTGATGTCAGTGCAGTTATTGTCCGTCAACTGAGGTCCCCTCCGTACGCTAGACGAGATTGTCAGCGTCGTACGGGAAAACCAATGTCAAGAGCAATTGAGAGAACAGAAATGAGAATTGAGAATGAAGAAAGCTTGATTGCATTAATAAAAGCTATTACAGAAAAGCAACACGGTGTCGAGGGGGAGAGAAACCAGTATAGAGAATTGTTTGCTTGCTAGAAAGTTTGATTGCTTGATCCCCCCTAATAGTGCTTAAAAAAATAAACCAAAGTTACAAGACTAGACTTGACTAAGCTAGAGAAACATAATGGAAGTACGTGAAATAAAACTACTCTATATTTACAATGAAAAGGAATTAGTTTTCTACAAGGCAGAAACAGGTCCGTTGTCAGCAACATTGTCTTTGGCATCACGGTCTGCGCGCGCGGCGTTGTCTGCGTGCGTGTTGGTATCTACCTGTGGCTGGGCGCTGGCGAGGGATATCGGTGGGGCAACAGAGGCACATGCGCGCTTGTCACTTGGCGCAGCCAAGACCGCGGGGCTGTCCGTGGCGCTAGGCGTTGGGAGGCTTGCTAGGACGTCGCGCCCAAGGGGTCATGGGGCATGGCTGAAAAGCCGCCCATGACATTCTCCCCCACCTGAGTTGGCGCCGTCCTCGGCGCCTTACTTGCAAGATAATCATCAATTAGGCTCTTGTAGGCTTTGAGGTTTGTTCCCCTCTCCCAAGTATTCTCCTCTATATCACAGCCCTGCCATTTCACCAAGAACTCTTGGTGATCATTCCTTGAGGCATGAATCACTCTATCATCAAGGATAGCTTCAACACACCTTTTTCCGATTGAATTGGGGCCTCGAATACTGGGTATTGTGAGCTGGTTCCATGAATGATCCTCCGTATCTTCCCGAAAAGGTTTCAAAAGGCTGACATGGAAGACGGGATGAATTTTCCACCAAGCTGGGGTATCTACCCGGTATGCAACTTTTCCAATGAGCCTTTCAATGGACAAGGGTCCAATGTATTTTTGCAATAGGCGAGGGTCATGGACCCCCACAAATAAGTACCATTTTGGAATTTTGACCATCACTTTGTCTCCTACTTGGTATTTAACAAAGCGACGATTTTGATCAGCATGCCTCTTCACCCGCTTTTGGGCTTTGACGAGATAGCTCTGCACTATCTCCAAATTTTGCTTCCATTCTTTTGAGAAGCTAGCAGATCGAGGAGATTTTGACATGTTTGGTGCATCCACGGTGTGTGGGAGTAGCGGTTGCTGTCCGGTAACAATTTCAAAAGCGTTTTTGTTTGTACTAGAGCTCTTTTGTGAATTGAAACACAGTTGAGAAGCATCCAGAAGCTTCACCCAATTCTTCTGCGATCCGGTTACAAAGTGGCGGAGATATTCCTTCAACATACCATTGAACCGCTCCGTCTGGCCATT